ATTGAAGGCACTTGAGAAATCAAAGAATATGACCCTCAAAGTGCTGCCTGACTGGTCCAGATGAGAGTGGGCTCTCTGAAGCAGGTAGATGATGGCTTCTTCAACCCCAAGCCCATTACGATATGCGAACTGTAGTGGGTCCTGAAAGGTGTTGACTTGCTTGTTGAGGTGAGCCAGTAAGAGTCTCTCCAGGACTTTCATGATGTGAGATGTCAAGGTAACTGGTCTGTAGTCATTTGGTTCAGCTGGTTGTGGTTTTTTTAGGCACTGGAACAAGACAGGATGTTTTCCACAGTACTGGAACTCTGTTCTGTCTCAGGCTGGTGTTAAAAAGGTGCTGGAGAACCGAACATAGTTGTTCTGAGCAGGTCTTGAGAACTCTGGGACTGATACCATGTGGACCTGCAGCCTTGTTCTGGTTCAGTTTCTCCAGCTGCTTCTTGACCTGGTCGCAGGAGACAGTCAGGCTGGAGGTGGAGGCAGAGGAGGTCTCAGGATGTCCTGGTGTGGAGGGAGATGAGGCTGTGTTCAGGTCCATGACTGAGCTGCAGGGTGACACAGTGGAGGTGGGACAGGAAAGCTATGGGCTCATGGAGGGTGTGTGGTGTGTTGGGTTGGAGGCAGGGGGGGAACTGAACCTATTGAAGAACATGTTCAGTTCGTTAGCTCTGTCCAGACCTCCATCAGTCTGATCCCCTTTTCATTTGAAGCCAGTGATAGTCTTCATTCCATTCCACACATCCCTCACGTTGTTCTGCTGGACCTGGCTCTCCAACTTTTTCCTGTAGTCCTCCTTACACTTCTTAGTCTGTTTTTTCAGTTGTTTTTGTGTTATCTTCAATAACTCCCTGTCTCCAATAACTTTATTTTTATATTATATTAATATTTATAATATTTGCCAGATTCAAGGAGTGGCTGTTTTTATGACGGAATTTGGGGTGTGACCGGATGAAAAACCTCTCTATAATGATGACTGGAATGGGGTGAGCCGATAACGTAGCTGGGGGGTGATGGGGCAACAGTGTTTGGGAGTAGTGGAGCAGAAGAAGATGGAGGGGCGTGTGAAGGGAAAGTAAACAGTTATGCAGGTGTCACTGACTGAACGACATGTTGCATATTAGCTGGAAATATGCGGGTGCCCAGTATGGAGTGATGGATGCCGTCTGGTCTGTAGAAAGTGTGCCGGTTCCAGAAGAGGTTAAAATTGTCAATGAAGGCTATTTGGTGAGAAGCACAGGTTGACTGGAGCCAGGTGTGGAGACTGAGGATTCTGCTAAAATGCTGTGATCCACATCCAAGTGTAGAAAAACACGCAAACCGCAGCTGCTTAAAACATTAAAAAGCTTTTTGAAGTCCGTCCGAAGTGTCGTTTATTCTTTTTTATTTCTGATATTCTGACTGCGTGGACAGAGGACGGAACGGACTGCAGTAGAGCAGGAGGTGATGTCAGGAACGGTGGGAAACAGCGGGTGACTGCGTTAAAGAAGTGCACACATCTGACAATCGAGTTGTATGAGAGTAGCTGGGGGAAATAGCAGTCAGGGAGATGAGTGACGACTCCTAGGTGGGGATGGAGGGGCGGAGGGACGGAGGGGGGGTAAGGGGGGAGCCGCCACAGGTAACGGAATGGATGTGTGAGAGGCAGCAGCCTGCGGTGCGGGTGTAAACTGCAGTGTGGAATGGCGGGTCTTAGGATGGGTGGAGTGCACAGGGATGGTTGACGGAAGAATCTGAGATGACGGCGGAGGGCTCCGGGAAACAGCAGAGAGAGGGGGAAGTCACTCAGGGCTAGGGTGTCATATTTATGTGATGCCAAGGTGAGGAGGGTTGTGGGAGCAGCGTGCACCCCTCCCGCTGGCATTGGTGGGCAGAGAAGGGTGTCCAGGTTGAGATAAAGTGGAGTTGATCAGTGACTTGGGCTTAGCCCCAAGCCGTGTCCAGGAATCATTATGGTTGGAGGGCTGAGGAGTGTCAGAAGCTGCTGGGTGATGTGTGGGCTCCGATGACGATGCCAAAGGAGAGGGGACACACACACGGGAGATGGAGGTCTCGATGTGAGGTGGATTAAAGGTGATTGTTTCCATGAGACGTTCGGCTTCCTGGATTTGGTAGAGTGTGGAGATCCGTCCTTTGAGTCTGAGGATTTTGGCAGCCAGGCAGGAGCAGGATCACAGGATGGAGAGCTGAGTGGAGCCATGGCTGTGTGGGAGCAACACAGTCCAGCGGGCTGCTAATAGCACAGAGGCCACCGCTGAAAACAGGCTGGTGATAACCACAGTGGAGCATAGCCAAGCCGCGGTAGCTGGATGGCTGCTGCTGAGCTTGGACCTGGTGGTAGCTGGATGACTGCTGCTGAGCCTGGGCCTGGCCTGGTGGTAGATGGGTGGCTGCTGCTGGGCCTGGCCTGGTGGTAGCTGGATGCTGTTGGCTGCTGCTGAGCCNTCTGTGTGGACAGCATCGTTCCAACAAGAACAGTGAGGTGCTTCCCCAATAACAAACCCTGGATCACCAGTGACTTGAAAAAGCTGCTGAAAATGAAAAAGAAAGCTTTCAGGGATGGAGACAGGGAGTTATTGAAGATAACACAAAAACAACTGAAAAAACAGACTAAGAAGTGTAAGGAGGACTACAGGAAAAAGTTGGAGAGCCAGCTCCAGCAGAACAACGTGAGGGATGTGTGGAATGGAATGAAGACTATCACTGGCTTCAAATGAAAAGGGGATCAGACTGATGGAGGTCTGGACAGAGCTAACGACCTGAACATGTTCTTCAATAGGTTCAGTTCCCCCCCTGCCTCCAACCCAACACACCACACACCCTCCATGAGCCCACAGCTTTCCTGTCCCACCTCCACTCTGTCACCCTGCAGCTCAGTCATGGACCTGAACACAGCCTCATCTCCCTCCACACCAGGACATCCTGAGACCTCCTCTGCCTCCACCTCCAACCTGACTGTCTCCTGCGACCAGGTCAAGAAACAGCTGGAGAAACTGAACCGGAACACGGCTGCAGGTCCACATGGTATCAGTCCCAGAGTTCTCAAGACCTGCTCAGAACAACTATGTTCGGTACTCCAGCACCTTTTTAACACCAGCCTGAGACAGAACAGAGTTCCAGTACTGTGGAAAACATCCTGTCTTGTTCCAGTGCCTAAAAAACCACAACCAGCTGAACCAAATGACTACAGACCAGTTGCCTTGACATCTCACATCATTAAAGTCCTGGAGAGACTCTTACTGGCTCACCTCAACAAGCAAGTCAACACCTTTCAGGACCCACTACAGTTCGCATATCGTAATGGGCTTGGGGTTGAAGAAGCCATCATCTACCTGCTTCAGAGAGCCCACTCTCATCTGGACCAGTCAGGCAGCACTTTGAGGGTCATATTCTTTGATTTCTCAAGTGCCTTCAATACTATTCAGCCTGCTTTACTATGTGAGAAGCTCCATAATTTCCAGGTGGATCCTTCCACAACCACTTGGATTTATATTTACTTAACAGTTTGTGAGACTGAAAGGTTGTGTGTCAGAGATGGTAGTCAGCAGCACTGGAGCACCACAAGGAACTGTACTCTCACCATTCCTCTTCACACTGTACACCTCAGACTTCCAGTACAGCTCTGAGTCCTGTCATCTGCAGAAATACTCTGATGACTCTGCAGTTGTGGGGTGTATCAGTGATGGACAAGAAGCTGAGTACAGGGAACTAGTCAGTCAGTTTGTGAAATGGTGTGGTAACAATCACCTCATCTTAAATACCAGCAAGACTAAAGAGATNTGCTGGGCCTGGCCTGGTGGTAGCTGGATGGCTACTCCTGAGTCTAGGCCTGGTGGTAGCTGGATGGCTGCTGGCTGCTGCTGAGCCTGGGCCTGGCCTGATGGTAGCTGGGTGGCTGCTGCTGGGCCTGGGCCTGGCCTGGTGGTAGCTGGATGGCTGCTGCTGCTGAGCCTCGGCCTGGCCTGGTGGTAGCTGGATGGCTGTTGCTGGGCCTGGCTGGGTGGTAGCTGGATGGGTGCCAACTTTTGTGAGATTCAAGTTATTTCTGTGACCGTTGTGGGTTTTTCTTTCATTAAACGAGGGGTACCAACAATTTCGTCCATGTGTGTATTTGTTATGCTGTTAAAACCTAAAGGCACAGTTTTGTCTAAAGGCAGCATATGCACGCACCACTCTCTCACTCTCGCTTGACCACTCATGCAGTGTGTGAGTTTACAGCTAGTTAACAGCTATTTAATGGTGAGCCTGCTAATGAAAGAGAGACTCTAACGGTGCTGATTCAAGTTGATAACTGATGTCCGAAGCCAAATGGACAGTTAGTCTTTCTGAAGATTTTTAAGGATTCAAGAACCTCTTTTCTTGACAAGTGCACGTCTGCACGCACCTTCCATCCAGTGTCAAAATTGGGGACATTTTCGGGGACAGCTTTAACTGGGGACAGCTCACCCAAATCGGGGACTGTCCTCAGAAATCAGGGACATCTGGTCACACTAAGCTAAGCTGCATTGAAGTACAACAAGCGACGTAACAAAACATTCACCTACACACACTCTTTGTTTGTTGGTTTCAAATCCGTCCTTAAGTCCCTAAACTTTACAGTTTTCATATATCTCTGAGCAGACAATCAAAGCTCATGGTAGCATTAGCCACATTAGCCACACAGCGTGCTAACACTACGGATTGAGGAATAACAGAAGTAAATGTCTTCATATCTTAACTAGCTCATAGTTTCCAAATCCAAGTTCATAACAACCACAAAAACACAAAAAATTGAATGTTCACCAAAAAGAAACTTTTAAGCATTTGAAGCATGTTAAAGCTTGGTAAGTGAGTTTGGTAAAGAAGAACATAAAGTGTTGCCAGCTGTCTTTCACAAATATGGAAAAGACAATGAAAAAAAAATCTGTAATAATTTTCAACCCTCCAGCTACCACCCTCTGTAAACCAGACGGCACCAATGCCCTCTGAAAACCTTAGGTTAACCCTGCTGTCTGTCCTCTGACCTGTTGCTGGCTCTGCTCCTCCAGGTTCAGTTTGACCTCCAGTGACTGTCTCGCTTCCAGGAATGCCTTCCGATGCTTCCGATCAGCCATGTAGTATGACATGACTCCCACAGTGATGGCACAAACATATATCACAATGTTGGCCAGGAGCTTGAAAACAAAAAAGATTGCAACAATTAGGGATTAGCATGGGGCGGATCTTTCATGAAAATGTTTCCAACATTCACAAAATGTACAGCACTCAATTTTACATGCTGATGTAACACAGATTCTAATTGAATTTCAAGAAAATCATCAAAAGTAAACACTAAATAATAAGTACTTGCATTCAGTGTGTGAATATTAATATACAGCATTTATAAGGGACACAAAAAACAAAAATATATAATAATAATAATAATAATAATAATAATAATAATAATAAGAATAATAATAAGTTTATTGTAATTTTGCTGTACATTCAACAGTAGTACAAACAAGATGAGAGGATCCAGGATCTTAAGGATCTTAACTAAAAGTAATTAAATATAGAATCATGTGCATATCCAGATCAACAGTTCAGCATTCTGTCAGCTTGTAATGAAGCTGTCGAAGCTGTTAATCAGTCTGGAGGTTCTTCCTTAAGTGCTCTTAAAACGTTTGCCTGATGGCAGCAGTTCAAGCAGTTTATGGAGAGGGTGTGAGGATACTACGCCAACACGGAATCCTATCGGAGACTATGCCAGCAGTTGCCTGAGAGGAAGGAAGCACAAACGTGCGAACGTAAACAAAAGAGGGGGAAGAGATCCATGCTAGGCAAAAGGCTAACCCCTTCAGACCAGCAGTACTGTCGCCCCTACTTTCCAATGTTTGCTCCCTCAACAACAAGCTGGACGAGCAACTTTGCTGATAGAAACCCGCAGAGAGTGGAAAGACTGCTGTGTGTTTGCTATTACAGAAACATGTCTCCATCCCAGATGCGGCAATACACCTGGAGGGGACGACATTGTTCCGGGCAGACAGACAGACAGCGAGCTCTGGTAAAAGCTGAGGTGGGGGGCTGTACATCTATATGAACAAAGACTGGTGTGTAAATGCCATGTTAGCCTCTTAACACTGCTCTCAGTTGGCAGAGTTTCTTATTGTGAAATGCCAGCCATTCTACCTGCCGAGGGAATTCACCAACGTGATTGTAGCCATTGTTTACATAGCTCCAAGCGCTAATGCTAACGAGGCACTGGGAAGGCTACATGACGGCATTAGGGAACTTTTAACTAAACACCCAGACATCGTTGTAGTGGTTGCAGGGGATTTTAACCACACCAGTTTAAAGACTGTGCTCCCCAAGTTGAAGCAATTTGTGGACTCTAAAACCAGAGGAGAGAACATGCTGGACTTGGTGTATTCAAACTTCCCTGATGCATACAAAGCAACCCCTGCCCCCACCTCGACCGGTCTGATCATCTTTCTATTTCACTGGTGCCCGCTTACAAACCCCTACTGAAGCACAGCAGACCAGTAAAAAAAACAAGCCAGGATCTGGCCAAAGGGTGCATCCTCCGCACTATAAGACTGTTTTATGGACACTGACTGGGAGTTTTCAAAACAGCAGCCTCCCAGGGTGATCAGACTGATGTTGAGGAGTATGCTGAGGTGGTAACGAGCTACATTGCAAAGTGTACAGAGGATGTCACTGTTATTAAGACCTTCACAGCACGTGGAAACTAAAAACTCTGGATGACTTCAGAGGTGCGCTCGCTGCTGATGGCCTGTGATGCAGCCTTCAGGGTGGGAGACAGGACTCTCTCTCAGACTCTTCACTCAGCCAGATCTGAGCTCTCAAAAGGGATCAAGGCTGCGAAACGCACCTATGCAGAGAAAATCCAGGGACACCTCTGTGACACAGGAAAACACAAGACGGATGTGGCACGGAGTCCAGACACTGACGGACTAAAAGACTAGGCAGGGGGTCGACGACGATGATGCTTCTCTTCCAGACAGGCTCAACTACTTCTTTGCACGCTTTGAAGCATCAAACCCGACAATGAAATGAAAATGAAATGAAAAATACTTTATTTATCCCAGAAGGGAAATTCAATTTCAATTAAATTCAAATTCAATCAATCAGAGAGAGGGCTGGTCCTTCTCCTTCTCTGTCAGGCCAGCTTTCACCATCAATGCAGCAGACACACGGAGGACCCTTGCCAGGGTCAACCCACGAAAAGCGACAGGACCGGACAACATCCCGGGACGCGTGTGCTGACGAGCTGGCCGATGTACTGACTGACATTTTCAACATCTCCCTCAGTCAGGCCATTGTCCCAAGATGCTTCAAAACATCCACCATAGTTCTAGGGGCAAAGACATCAGTTGAAGCTTGTCTGACTGACTATCGCCCCATTGCGCTGACAGTGATTGTGATGAAGTGTTTTGAACGGCTCGTCAAACCACACATCACAGCCCGCCTTTCTGCATCGCTTGACCCCCTTCAGTTCGCTTACTGACCCAACCGCTCCACAGAGGATGCAATATCCACCACCTTGCACTCAGTCATCACCCACCTGGAAAGCAGAGACACCTACGCTAGAATCCTGTACATTGATTTCAGCGCAGCGTTTAATACTATCATCTCCCAGAGACTAATAGAGAAACTCCTCAGCTCGGCCTGGATACCACAATATGTCTCTGGGTCCTGGACATTCTGACCGAAAGACCCCAGTCTGTCCGAGTCGGAAAAAACATCTCCAACTCCATCACGCTGGGCACTGGATCTCCTCAAGGCTGTATACTCAGTCCACTGTTTTTTACACTGCTAACACATGACTGTGCAGCCACACATGAGGGGATCCAGATCATCAAGTTTGCTGATGATACCACAGTAGTGGGACCAAAGAATCAATGTACAGATATGAAGTGAAACACCAAGAAAGCTGGTGCAGTAAGAACAACCTGCTGCTCAATGTGGACAAAACAAAGGAGATGATCCATTGACTTCCGGAGGTCATGCCCTGAGCGTGCTCCCCTCAGCATCGGCTGCACAGTGGAGAGAGTGGAGAACATCAAGTTCCTCGGAGTGCAAATCTTGCAGGACCTGAGCTGGAATAAGAACAACGCAGCGATCATCAAACGGTCCCAGCAGAGACCGCATTTCCTGAGGAAGCTGAAACAAGCCTCTCTCCCTGCCAGCATCCTCAGTTCTTTTTACAGAGGTGCGGTGGAAACTGACATACTGCATCTCAACATGGTACTCCAGCTGCAGTATATCAGACAGAAAAGCCCTGCAGAGGATAATTAAAGGATCTGAGAGGGTCATTAAAGTTTCCCTCACCTCTGTCCAAGAACTTTACCAGAGCCGTTGCAGGAGCAGGGCACTGAACATTGTCAGGGACTCCTCACATCCTCTCCATAAACTGTTCGAACTGCTACCATCAGGCAAATGTGTCCGGAGCATTCAAGGAAGAACCTCCAGAATGATCAACAGCTTCATGCCACAAGCTGTCAGAATGCTGAACTGCTGATCCAGATATGCAAACCCTTGTTAATTTAAATTGCTTTAAGGTATTGGATCCTGAAAAAAAGCTCTCTCATCTTGCCTGTACTACTGTGTATGTACAGCAAAATGACAAACTTGATTTGATTTGAATTGATTTGTTCAAGAGGATTCAAATCCAGACTTTGACTTGGCCACTCCATCAGTTCCAGTACTCCAGATTCCTTTTTCTTGGTCAGATAGTCTCTGCACAGCTTTGAAGTATGGTTGAGCAGTCCAGTGTTTGTGCTCCCTGGCAAATCTGAAGTGTTTCTGGATGTTTGCAGACCTCAAGAATGACTTCTTAGCAACTATTCTTCTGTTTAAGCCTTGTTCTGTCAGTCATCTGCTTGTGGTCATTCTGGAGACTTTCTCAGACTCTGATCTAGAAGCATTCATCTCTGCCTGAAGATCAGCAGTGGTCACTGCTATGTCTGTAGTTCTTAAAATCTTGAGGTGCCTGACATCTGCCTCAGTTAACTTTTGTTTTCTGCCTCTTCTGTGGTGCATTTTGTAAGTACCAGTCACTGCAATTGACCCCAAAGCAGATTTGACCACACTGAGAGAACACTTTATATCTTTCCCTGGTTGTCTCGGAGACCATCGAGCATCATGAGTTGCTTCATTCAGTGAGCTCTCAATGTTTTACCATTTTGAACAGGAATGAGAAATTCCAAACTGAATTTACCTTTTTATACCCAAATTTGAGCTGGCACACTAGGCTTCTCTGAGAAGTCAGAAATGAATCAAGCATAACATTCAACCACTAGAACAAATTTTTCTGTTCAGAAATATATATAGAATGCTTTTTAACATGAAATACTCACTATGAATAAAATTTTAAGTCAACAGTCAAATGGTTGAGGAGATATGCTTTGCCCTGCTACTTATTGCTTTGAAGTAAGCTCTTCTGCAGTTACTACAAATATTCATGGACTTACACTACAACTTTGTGCACACAGTCAAGCTTGTGACACTGGTCTTTATTGCCAAGCTTATTCCCGATGGAACACAAAGAAAGATAATTAGTTTCCACAATGATAATGAGAATAAATTTGCCACTAAAGTCATGCTGTCATAACTACATCAGATTACAATTAAATGCATGTCAATTATGAAAATTTATCACAAAAATAATCCCACTGTCCCAACAGATCTCTGAATTAAGTTATGGTTATACTGTGTCGATGCCTGATGCAGTGATAATTCCCAAAGAAATTATACAAAACTACTTCAAACCAAGGTTTATGCCTACAAAGTGCTTCCTAAATTGAACAATATACCCATATTAAAAAATATTTTCTTAGTTATGTTTTAAGAACCATCTCTGTTCTATTTGGATTGGGCTATCCAGCAATGTTATTGTTTTTGTGGTAAAGCTTGTCATACCTGTTCAATCAGTTATGAAAGTTCAACAATAAAAAAGTTATTTTCATTTATGTGGCCAAGTACTTCATGTTAAAAAAATGTGTTTGTTGTATATTATTGTGACATGGGCCTACACATGGCTCAGAAAATATCACTACTTGATTTCAGCAGTACCATTTTTTGTTAATGTGTTCAAAGTAGATCAAATAGCTCAGAGACTACTTGATCTACGTCCAATATTGCAAATTCTGACTCAATGGCATGATGAACACCT